TCATGGAGTGGAGAGAGTACAGCAAAGCGGTGGCGTGAGGGAGCGAGTAAGAGCGTGAGGGAGAGAGAAGTAGGGGGAGTGGGGAGGAAGCAAAGGTGGGGGGGCACGAGATAGTTGCTCCCAGAAGTTTCTCGAGGGTCGCCCCTTTGTTTTTTACATTTCATTTACTTTCTTGCAAGAGCCTGGGGGCTTCCCCCAAGGCGGGTAGAGAACTCCTCTCCTATACGCACCAAGGCCCAACTGCACAGATTTTTTGGATCCACGGTATGAGGCCATTGCTTAGAATGAGATATAAAACCGAGGGTAAGCAACCCGAAAAACTAACCCGGGAAATCAGTGGGCCGCCAGAGACCAACATGCTTGAGACCCCCCCCCCAAGACTTACAGAGCTCTAAGCGGGGTACCCTTCCATCTAAGGACAAAATGCCGCTCATCCCATGCCACATTTATTTCCCGTTCCATTACTTGTATACCAGAAAAGGGACGGGCGTGCAACCCAGACAGGGAAGCTATACCTGCAAGCATAACGGGTCTTTTGTTGCAACAGTTAAACACCAATTTCAGAAGCACTGGGCTAGACCCCACCACTTTAAAAGTCCCAAGCATACAATCCCTACCAGGTTGCCATTATCTCTACGCTTATTCTTATTTCTCAAACTCCAAATGGCTGGTGGTGGGGCACAACTTCCCTTTGCAGGAGCCATGCATATTTCCCCTTCGCAGACCATTCCTCTGCGTGCCTGTATCATTCTCCCTCTAATAACACTTTTTACTGGTTTGCCTGGGATAGACATTGATCATTAGGCTAACAGACCTGTGAACTCCCTGGATTCCCTCTGGAACCCTCTTTAAAACTTGGCATGAAAGTTGCTATTTTCCACTCATCCAGCACAGAGACCAATTCTAGCAACGATTACATATATTTGTTCTTAGCCCCAAGCATTTCTTATTTGGGTTCTTTCAGAACTCTCGGGTGTATGCCACCTGGAAGCTGTTTCGTTTTCAGCTTGCCTAGCAAATCCAAGCACTTCATCTCCCCATTACCTCACTCAGTTTTCCAGACACCCTTCCCAGATGCGGCAGCTCCAGTGTTGGGGAACATGCCTCACATTCCCCACGGTGGAAACGGATCCAGCTTTTCTCCCATCTCCCTTTAGTGACCCTTTTACACATCCCTTGGTCACCCGGGAGGCCACTCCCTCCCCCCCCCCATGTGCTGGTTTCCTACTCTTGATATATTTGAAGAAATGCTTACTGTTTGCCCACTCCTCAAATCCTCTTTTTGCTCACTTTACTGCCCACTTACTTTTCTTGCCAGAACTCACGGCCATTTCCCCGCACACCCACCTCAGCCGGACAAGGCTTCTGGCGTGAAACCCCCCCCCCTTGCTGCCTTTCACAGCTTCCTGGGCTTGGGCTTGACTACCCACACAGACACCCCCTCCTTCCAGACTTCACACCTAGCTGGGCCTTTAGTGTCCTTTTGAATAGTTTCCAGACATCCCTTTTCTCCCTTTTAACTGTCTTCTGACTAGTTGCTTCTTTTTATCAAAAGTTTACCACTATTGAAAGTGACTGCTTTGGACCCTGGGAGCAACTTTCTGTTGACACGAGATGCTGCCTCCTGCGGGCAACAAAAATCTACTGGCCATCCAGATCGAACAACAATCACTCTCTTCCGTACTTTAAAGCCAAGGACATTATTGCGTGGATTGGGCTTGCTGCTCTAGGATACCTACCCTGCCCCACTGTTTGCTCAGAAGACAAAAGGCCCATTGCAGCCACACCCCCACGTACCTCTGTGGCTGGGCTAAGGCTGCTCGGCAAAGTTTCTGAAGTCACCGTTGTGCTTGGAAGGCTGGAGAAGTCCCAGGTGTTCACAGGCTGCACTGACTCGGCTTGCTTTGAGTGATCGATACTTTTGGGATTGTCAAGCAGAGTCACTTCATAAAACTCCTGGATATCTGGAGACATGAGAGAAAGCATTTCAGCAATAAGTTTTCAGATGAGGACGTAAGTACTAACTGTGGCTCACGCTTGATCATCCGTCTGCCACCTTCAATTTATACTCGGACCTCAATCAGAATAAGGCAGCATCTCCCGAGAAAGTAGCAACACACCATCGCACCACACAAAGCAGAGAAGAGGAGCTGCCCCGGGGGTATGGTGGAAATGTTTCAAATAAACAAGAATATATTAGTAGGTGGCAAGGGCACAAACTGAAAAACAAGGAGAACAGAGTAAACATAGGCAAACACAAGCACACAGTTGAGGAAAGATCATTCGAGGCACACAGTACGGCATCCGGAGCAGAGGAGATGAGGACAAGGCCGTAAGCAGGCATTTGATTGTGTCTTCTAAGGCTGCTGAGGCAAAACGCTGTTCCACACTTGTGCCAAGCCAGGGTTGCAGAGGTCTGCAAGAAGTCTCCCAGGATGGCTGCCCCTTGCTTGGGAATCTCCTTCCCTTAGAGACTCAACCGAGGCGTAGCCTGCACTATCCTGCACTAAGGTGGTATTCTTCACGACGGCTTTGGGCAGATGGGAATAAGAGGACAGGGGCACTTTACCAATGCAAGAGGGCTGGCGGGTAACCTAGTTTCCTGTCCCAAACCATATTTATCCCCTGTACCTTAATGAGGCTCCTGAATACAAACTTTTAAAAAGTGCAATACACAACAATACCCCACATAATCCCCTCCACCTCTTCTTCTTAAACAAAACAACGCTGCAGCCTGCACCCCACTAAAAGCCCTCGCCAGCAGAGAAGCCTACCAGACCCTCCTGAGGAGGGCCTCCCTTCCGTAGGGCGGGAGTAAGGATGGCATAGGCACGGGGGGGGGAGGGGGGCTCCAGCTGATGCCAGCTCGTGGGCTACCCTCAGAGGAAGAACCCCAACGGGCATCCGGGGCCACACCGGAAGAAAGTGAAGACGGGCTTCAAGGCTAACAAACCAGCACCTTGAAATGAACTCGGAAACAAACAGGCAGCAAGAAGAGCTGTTCCAATGGTGTGGGGGGTGCAGTCCCCTGCGCTGGCCCCTGACAACAACCAGGCTGCCCCATTCAGAACCAGCTGCAGCTTTGGGGTGGTCTCCAAAAGCAGCACAATGTAGAGCAAATCAGTCAGAAAACTGTGAGGTTACCAAAGCATAGACCAACATTGCCAGACTAACCCTGGGCACCACTACACCAACCCACTTTTCAAGCAGGAAGTACCCCGCGTTCTTCCCCTCTTCTGCAGGCACACCAGGCCCATCTCTCACCCACCACAAGGGGGGGGCCCTCATCCCTCTGGAACAGAGGTCCCCAACAAGGTCCCTGTGGCCACCAGGTCTCCTGCCAGCCCCTTTCCTGGCACCCAGCAGGTTTCTAGAAAGCGGGGAGGGCTTTTTGCCCAGCAGAGTTTCGGAATGGCCGCCAAAGATCTGATGGTCTGTGCAGATTTCTTAAAGACACTGCTTTCAGCAACAGCTGTGACCAATGTTCCCTCTAAGCTGTGGAGTCTAGTGAGCAAAAATTCTACTGTGTGAGCTACTGGCATTAAAGTTGTGAGCGAGTGATCTGGCTACTGCATAAATTAGTTTGCTCTGGTGACCACGGCAAGTGGATCTTTGCTGTGTGACTGAAGGGAAGCTGCGTGCATGCAGGAAACAGTTTTAAAACAATATGTTCACTTTAAGACACACACCTTGTTAAACACAGCTTCTGCCTGAATGCCTGAAATACTGAAGCGTTGCTAACAGATTCACGTGCAGCCTCACTGCCTGACATTTTGCGGTTTTTCTCCCCCTCCCTTGGCAGCCGTTTTGTGTTTGTCCCCCACCATCCGGCGTCAGAATTCCAAAGGTGCCTGCAGGCTTAAAAGAGTTGGGGACCCCTGCTCTGAAACACCAGCCTTCCTGGCTAGCCTGGATTTAGCTTCAGTTTTTTGTCAGCTGACCGTGGCCTAAGAGCCAAGAGAGGCACATCTGGAGGGATTCAGATGTGGGGGCAGAGGATACAGATCAGTAAGTATTTCATAATTTCTATTTTGTTCATCCTGGGACTTCAGTTTGTTCTGAATAATTTTGCTCTAAAACAAGTACATTATACCTTTCACAAAACTGAAAGAAAATACCAGCAGTAGCTTCAAGGAACAGCCACTCAGAATGCGTTCCCAGTTTCTCGAACTCAGAGCAGCTAGGAAGGGGGCTTGAAGCACCCCAAATGTTGATTAGAGGAAAGTTAGAGTAAAGCAATACAACTTTGCTTCAGACCAGCACGGCTGCCCACCTTGATCTATTGTTGATTAGAGGAGTTTGCTTCCCCCAACAGAGTCAACATCCCGCCCAACAAGACTGATAAAGCAAACATGAACTCTGCTAAAATCCACAGCTGGGGCTTCTCTGTATTGGCGCTGAGTACTCGTGGACCAACCTCTGTGAACAGCGAGTGTCAAAAGCAGCCAAAAATACCAACTTCAAAAGAAACACTGGGAGTCAGATCCAAAAACTGCTTTCTGCCAGTTAAAGGGGGAAAGACTGTTTTCGCCAGCTCCCCTCTCCCACAGCAGACCCCCCCCACACACAAACACCCAGATTCCCCACAAACAGCGTTTTGGGGAGCTCAGTCAATCAAAAGGAAATGTATGTATTAATTTGAAATAGTTATCCCCTACGCTTTTCCACGATGGGAACCCAGAGCAGCTTATGGAAGTAAGGATTCAGTGAAGGGGGACAAAATCCCTCTGCTGGAGACAGTGAATTATGGCAGCAGAGAAGGACCTCTGGGTTCAACCCTGTGAAATGTTTCCTTGCAAATCAGTTTAGTGGCATTTCACCGGGTCTGGTTTAAAGAATGCATTCGTACTGAACACAAGAACAATCCTGCTGGATCACAGAAGAGGTCTACCTCGTCCAGCATCTTGTTTCCCACAGTGGCCTCGACCACCTGCCCCGAGGAGCCAGCGGGCAGGGCACAGCAGCCACGGCCTCTCCGCTCTCCTGCTCTGGTACACCCTGGACTCCCAGCTCTGGCACTGCAGACGTCCAACACACCTCTGAGGCAGAGGTTCCCCGTTAGCCACTCCAACACGTAGCCACGGATGGACCTAACCCCGCTTAAAAGTCATCCTCTGTTGAAAATATTCTGTTGACTGCTGCAGGCAGTGCAGAATAACTGGGTCAAAATAATGCTTAACAATGAATCAAGAGCCGCTTTTAGCCCATTATACCACTGACCGGAGCAGATACAAGTCAATGACATCTGACAAAGAGATTGCCTCGTCCGGCCTCACCAGCCCTTTGGAGCTCTCTGAAAAAGTGAACAAGCATGTAGACCACTGCCACACAGGAGACACTATATACCTGGAGTGCCAAAAGGCTTTGGAGAAAGTACCACACCAAAGACTTGTGAATGAGCCTACCCGCCATGGGATAAGAAGGAGCCTCTTATGGATTAAAAGCTGGTTACCTGGCAAGAAACAGTGAGCAGTGGGGCCCCCACAACGATCCACCCTGGGGCTGATGTTATTTAAACCACTAGTAAATGATCTGGAACGAAGGGTGAGCACTGGCGTGACACCCAATTATTCTGGGTGGCGAAAACCAAGGCTGACTGTAAAGAGCTCCAGCAGGACCTCCACAAACTGGGAGAGTGGGTGACAAAGTGGCAAGTGAAGTCCAGTGTTGGTAAGTCCCAGGTGATGCACACGGGGACAAAAAAATCCCACCTTCCACTATAGGATAATGGGGTCTGAACTTGCTGAGAGGGGAAAACAGAGAGCTCAGTGAAAGTGTCAAGCCAGTGTGGTGCAGCAGTGGTGAAAAAGGCAAACTCTATGCTAGGGATTTATGAGGAAAGGGACTGGACTTGAAACAGCAGCCCTTTGGCGTGGCCCCGTGTGGAATAATACGGTGTACCGTTCTAGCCACCCTATTTCAAGAACAACACTGCAGAGCTGGGAAAAGTACAGCTGGGAAAGCAAAACCCAGATGATTACAGGGTTGGAGCACCTTCCCTAGGAGGAGAGGCGAAGCAGCCTGGAAAGACTTCTCCATTTAGAAAAGAGATGACGACTAAGAGGAGAGACGGGATAGTTTATCAAACCACGCAGGGGGCAGAGAGAGCCGAGAAAGAGAACTGTTTTCTCCCTCTCCCCAAAGACTAGACCTGGAGGGCCATATCCCATGAAGCCGATATGGGCCGTGGATTCAGGACACACAAAAGGAAAGGCTTTTATAACACAGCAGCCAGTGGTAAAAAACGTGAGCTCTGCTGCCAGAGGATGTAGAGGTGGCCAAAGGCCCGCTTTGGGGGGTGGTGGTGGGGAGGGGGGGGACTGTATTCTCTTGGCCACAGGCTGCAGAAGACAGGGCAGGAAAGGAGAAGAGTGGGCTGAGGCAGTGGCTGAGGGGACTTAGACGCCTGAGGACAGACCGGGAGCCCCCCC